AGTCAGTGCTGTGCCCCATTTTACATCATACTCATGTTAAATGCCTGACTCCAGGCTGGTACAGCTACTAAGCCCCAGAGCCAAGCCTGAACTCTTGGTACCCTGACTCCAACACAACTGTTCTTTCAATTAAAACATAGCCTGTCTCTATAAAGATACCTTACTGGAAATAAGCACAAAGAAGTGAGGGCGGGGGCAGAGCTCCTATGGCACAGCTCCAGAAGTAAGGACAGTGCATTTTCTAACCAGTCCCAGATGTGAGCCTATTGCTCAAATAGAGGCTCATACAAGAGCATAAAATTTCAGTTGTGATCCCAGTAACAAAGAATTGTACTGGGTACCCACACAACAATGTTAGTGAAAAGAAACTCAGAATAATTCTCAAAACCATGTAGAAAAAGGAGATGAGGACCTATTTCTAACTCATCCAGTATTGCTTATTATCAACTTCTTTTAAAGCTTCTGGAGGGTCATTTACTTGAAAAAGCGTTCTGGATCATTTATATTAGGACAAATGCTTTCTTTATAAGTAGTAGGAAAAAGTGGACAAAGCGGGATATAGGATGCAATGTTTAGTGGTGAACATTTCCTCTTGAGGAAATCTTCCAACGTGAGTGTGCTTTACCCTGCTTCAAAAACGTCCTTGGGTTAAAATCAGGGGGTCTGGATGAGTAAAAGTGCTTTACAAACTACTACTCTCTCCAATTAATACACACGGGGTGGGGGAGTCAGGGGTAGGGGGAAAAAAGGGTGAATGGCTCATGACCCTAAGTTCTCAAACAGAGTTTGATTTCTTTCCATAGGTGATGCCCAGTGGTGAGGACCAAGCTAAAAACTGAGCCTTTAAAGAGAGATGAACAAAACTTGGAGAATGAAGAAACTGAAATTTTAATCCTTTATGGCAGGAAAGAAAAGCATAGGTAAAAGAAGTTTCTGAGGTTTGCCCACGCTTCCTCCTTTGTCATACAAGAAAAGAGAAAGACCAGGTATCTCCTTTGTCTTTCTCTTTTCTTGTATGACACTGTTGGGTGCTCTATAGTCCATCCAATCTGCACTACTAAGCTTGGTCACATTCTAAGTAGTAAGTTCTAGAATCCTTTTGCAACAGTTGAGGCTGTGTCAATATGTCTGATATGGTGGATAGATGTGTGAGATTGATTGGCTGAACTCAGAACACTGCATTGCACTAAATTAGTCTATGTAATATAAAGCAACAACTGCCTATCCCCTTCCAGCTGCCTGTCCATTGACTGTTTTATTTCCTACTTGAGTCTTAAAGATATCAAGGGCCAAAGTTACCGATGTCCTAGCCATTATTCCCTCCCAAGAAAAATTTGAAAATAGTATTTCTGATATTTATAATCATAAAATATAGAATAACTAAAATTATTTCAAAAATATAAAAATATAGATAGAATGCCTTTAATGAGGCATTAATGCCTCAAATCCCATATTCCAGAGAAAACAACAATAATTATTTTGGAGTAGTTTCTCCAGAAACTATAGTGTATATATACATATAGATATAGATATCTGAAATATATTTGCAAATATATATACATAGATATATTTGCAAACATTATTAGAGCTTCCCCTTTTTGTGTAATATCATATCATGAGTATTATGCCTTGTCCTTAACTCTTCTCCAAGACTACAATTTGCACTGGTAATATTACATGTGATGCTGTCTTTTCACATATATACCATAATCATTACATGCTAGAATTTCAGTATCCTAGAGGAAAAAAACTTATAGCCTCTGTTGAAACATGATTGAACTTGAAATATATTACCTTCAATGTCACTTATTTCTGTTTTTCTCTTCTATTGTTGGATCTTTGGGGGGAAAATGTAAAATAATAATAATAATGCACCTATGAATGATTTTAGAAAAATTATCTCCAGCATCTTACCATTTGGAATTATGTTGACCAATAGTTTGAAAGAGATACAAATTTCCATCTTAATGATTTAGCCTCCTAGCTCTAGATTACTAAGAGGTTTCATCAAGAATTAATGTAGCATTCTATCATTGCTTTGGGGCATCTAGTTAGATAACAATGTATTTTATTTTGTTACTGATTTGTTTTGTATATTATATTGATAGATTTTCAAGCATGAATTTAGAATTCCATGCATTAATAAAATAAATGACATTATTTTAGTGTGCAATTTGGATGTACTTTGTATTCTTTGCACATGCATTCATAAGTGGGATTGAATATAGTTTTATTCTTTCTTTGACAGCCTGGGTTATAAAAAGGGCAATTTTAGTTGAATAAAATAATTTACAAAGTGTTCTAAAACTTTTTCACATTGGAACATGTTATATAGCACATAAATTATTTGTTTCTTAAAATATAAAATAACTATCATAAGTATTCTGCACCCAGTGTCCATTCTAAAAGTCCAACATTTACAGCAGATCCCTATCATACATCACAGTACATGTGCCATAGTATATGTTGAGTAAAAGAGTAAATGAAGGACATGAGGAGATCGGGAAGTGCAGGGCTTCTGTGATAACATATAGCAGAGGCATCCTACTTAAACAAAGAGGTAAGAAAATTTTCCTACAAAAGATAATACCTTAGTTGAAAGAAGCCCTTCCTGCTTAAGATAACAAGTACACGTGCATAAAGAAATAATGCAGGGACTTCCACCAAGATGGAGGCGTAGGTGGAAATACTTTGCGTCCTCGCACAACCAAATCTAAAAACAACAAAGTTTTAACAACAATAAACGCAATCAAACTACACAGAACATCGAATACGGAGTCCGAAAACAACGACCCACTCAGCTAAACCGGTGAGAGGAGCGAAGTGAGCAGCAGAGCGGGTCGGGCAAAAAAGATCCCCAGACCCCAGGCATTGCACAGGCAGCCCAAGGCGTGGATCCCAGTTGCAGGGCAGCTACAGGCGGACCCAGGGAAGAGGTGCAGCTGGCTGTCTGCAGTCAGTCGTGCATTTGCAAGCAGATAAACCAGTGAAGAGGCGAGCGTTGAGACACATCGAGCAGGCCCTGGCGGCCTGCGCAGGGCAGCAGGCTCGCACATTTGAGCTCAGATAAACTGGCAGGAGTGAGCGGTGAGGCGGACTGGGCGAGCAGAGAGGACCGCCATTGCTCCCTCTCTGACCCCACCCCCACATACAGCATCACAAAACAGCCACCCAGGTGGCCGCGCCCTGGTGAACACCTAAGGCGCCTCTCCTCATATGTAACAGGTGTGGACAGATCAAAACATGGCTCAAGAACAACTCAGAGCCCCAAAGCTGATAAATCTAAGCAATGAAGAAATAGCCAAACTTTCAGATGCACAGTTCAAAACATTGGTGATCAGGATGCTCACAGAACTGGTTGATTATAGTCACAAATTAGAGGAACATGTGAAGGCTAAACTAATTGAAATGAATGGTAATGCACAGGAAACCAATAGTAATGGAAAGGAAATTGGGACTCAAATCAAGGGAGCAGACCAGAAGGAAGGAAAAAATGACCAAACAGAAAAATATGAAGAAACAAGAATTCAAAAAAATGAGGAGAGGTTTAGGAACCTCCAGGACATCTTTAAACGCTCCAACATCCAAATTATAGGGATACCAGAAGGGGAAGAGGAACAGCCATGAGTGGAAAACTTATTTGAACAAATAATAAAGGAGAACTTCCCCAATCTGGCAAAGGCAATAGACTTCCAGGAAATCCAGGAAGCTCAGAGAGTCCCAAAGAAGTTGGACCCAAGAAGGAACACAATAAGGCACATCATAATTGTGTAAAAGAAGTTATCTAGAGTTATGTTGCAAATTAAATGAGTTAATGAATCCCATGTAATGAGCTTACAACACTGTAATGTGTTTACAACACAGTGCTCCATAAAAATTAGCCATTATCAATCAGACACATGTGGAAGACTCATGGACAAAACTTAAAATAATATGGAAGACCTGTATATGCATTCCAAAGTATCAAATATAAAAATTGAGGAAAAGTATATATTAATAAGTATTTATAAAATGATATAAATTTGCCTGGAGAAAAACATAAAATATGCATCTAAGAGGTAAGTGGTAAAGAAAGAAGAATAGAAGGGGAAAAACCATTGGAAAATCACAAAAGTTAGGAAGAAATGTTACATGAAGTGACTTATATTAAAGTAGAGCAGATTCCAGGCCCTGAGTCCCAGACTCTTAACTGGACAGATGTCCCCTGATTCTGGATCAGATTATTTCTTGAATCAGAAAATATTCACATTCCATTAACTATGGTCTGAAACCTCAATCCCCTTGCCCTAAATTTTTTTTAAGCAACTTTTTTTCCTGGTCAGTCAAGTAGACTTAAAAGGCATAATTTAAAATATTTATTAATATATACTTAACATTGTCATACTGTATTATATATTTTATTATATTCCATTATGTTATGCATAATTTTAGATGACATGTTGGAATCACCTACTATGCCTGTCATTTAATAGATGTTATCTAACTTAGTTCTCACAACAAAATGCCAGAATTATAGCTTTGTTCTGCCCCTTGACCTATTTTACGAGCTAAAATTAGTAGCTGAGGTAGTTGAGACTCAAAAAAAGTAACCTAAAACAGCCATACAGAAGATAAGTGGCATGGAACTGAATATATATACTTTAAATTGGATCTAGCTTTATTAGAATTCAGTTATACTTCCAAATATTCATTAATGAAGATATTCTTACATATGCACATTTGAAAGTAATTTGTCCCTATATTTTATTTAACTAGAAGCCTGAAATTTTTCAGCACAATTTCCAGCTTCTGCTGTTGCATGAGCCTCAGCAGTGTTGCTCTCTCAGTGCCTGCTCCATCATTAATAAAATTACTTAACATCCCTATTCTTGCCATTCCAGGCTTTGTTCTAAGAATAAAACAAAATAATGTAAGTGACAGTCATGCGATACATCTACATTTAAAAAGCCAAAATTTCCTACATCTTGTCCTTTTCTAAACCTTCCAGGTGATATGGACACATGGAGATGGGGAATTACTCAGCCGTGACCGAATTCTTTCTGGTGGGACTCTCCCAATACTCAGAGCTCCAGCTCTTTCTGTTTGCACTCTGTCTCATCATGTATGCAATAATCCTCCTGGAAAATAGCCTCCTCATTATCATCAGTATTCCAGATTCTCGCCTTCACACTCCTATTCATTTCTTCCTTGGGAAGCTCTCATTCTTGGACATCTCCTAAACATCATCATCCATTCCCCCAGTGCTCATCATATTTAGGTCTGAAAGAAAATTAATCTCCTTCATTGGCTATGCTCTGCAGATGGTTGTCTCTCTTGGTTTGGGCTGCACTGAGTGTGTCCTCCTGGCTGTGATGGCCTATGACCAGTATGCGGCTATCTGTAACCCACTGAGGTACCCCATCCTCATGAACAGGGCACGTTAGGTGCACATGGCTGCCTGGTCTTGGATCATAGGCAGCTGTCTAAACTCCTCAGCACAAACCGTCCTAACAATGGTATTGCCCTTCTGTGGGAATAACATCACTGACCACCTTACCTGTGAGATTCTGGCTCTTCTTAAACTCATATGTGCAGATATCTCCATAAATGTGCTTATCATGACAGTGGCAAGTATTGTTTTATTGATGATTCCTCTACTGTTAATTTTTATCTCCTATGTTTTCATCCTCTCTTCCATCCTAAGAATTAATTCTGTTGAAGGGAGAACAAAAGCCTTTTCTACCTGTTCAGCCCACCTGACTGTTTTCATCTTATTCTGTGGTTCTGCCCTTTTTATGTACACGAAGCCCCAATCAAAGGACACAAAACCATCCAATGAAATCATCAGACTGTCTTACGGAGTGGTAACCCCAATGTTGAACCCCATCACCTACAGCCTGAGGAATAAAGAAGTAAAAGAAGCAATGAAGAAAGTCCTGAGAAGATACCTGTATATTTTGAAGCCATGAAAAGACTTGAGACATGTGATATCCTCAGTGTGGGACCATATCAAACCTTTGGTATTCACAAGTGAAGTCAAGAACACAGTCTGCTTGTAAAACCAAATATGGGTCTCCCTTCTTCACAACACAGAACAATCATGTAAACCCCCCTGAATAGTGTCTTGTCTGAGGTTTCTAACTGTATGTAGTTTTGCCCATGGTGCCATATAGGACACATGGCTTTTCCTCAAGATTAATCTCTCTCCTCTCCTCTCCTCTCCGTGGTCTCCTTTCTCCTCTCTTTCTCATTTTCCTCTCTTCTTCATTTCCTCCTCCTTCTTGTCCTGTCCCCTCTTCCATCTACTTCCTATCTCTTCCTTGTTTTCCTGGTCTCCTTTTCTCAGTCACTTTGAATTGTACATCTATTGTCTTATGGTCCAGCATTCCCTCTTCTGGTAAAAGAATGCATGTTTTTTTCTTTTGATAATTAAACAGTCAGTCCCTATAGGTCTGTGTGGTACTAGATGGGGCTGACCCTAACCTCTGGAAATAGTGATAAGTGTAGAACAAAAGCTTAGGCAATTAAAGAAGCAAATCCCTGCAGTCACAGTGATTCATTTAGCATGGCAAGTGAGTCCTGCCAGGCTAATTAAACTCAACTCAAGGATGTTGTCTCTGTATGAGAACAGAGGCATTCTTTCTGCTAGAGTTGCTAAACTGGTCAAGTGTAAACCTTGGGGCAATCTTTACCAACATGTGGGGAGAGCCTGAGAGACAAAGAGGTATTGAAAGATGGAGGGAAAGTGTGTCTGATCCTGGTATTAACCTCAGACTCACAATTATTCTGTTTAGTTATAGGAGTCAGTAAATTAGCTTTTTATAAAACACTAATTTCAAATTGCATCTTCATCACATAATCAATCATATAGCCCTAACTAAAATATTCTTTTGTGCCCTCTCTCTTTTCACATTTTTGAGGCAAAACAAAAAACACGAGGATATATTACCTACATGGTCCCAAGTTCTCTAGCCTTCAGGGGCTCCCTTATCCTTTAACAACTAAATAATCTAATTTCTAATCTGCAGGTACTCTAATCATCTCCTTAATAATTTCTGAAGAGTGTTTACATTTTCCTAGCTTCTGGTTTTCTTTCCTATACCACACTACTATTCTAACCTTTTTCATAATTCCTCTCTGATAATCTTATATGCCTTGGTGTTATGTAAGCTCCAACAGTACCTTTTATCCACAAAGAAAAGACATAAGTCTCTTAAATATTCACATTTAAAAGGCCACTATGTATAACACCTTTACTTAGGCCTGAAAATAAAGGAAAGGGATTATTATCAGTAAGAAAAATAAATCAATATTAAATATATTAAATACTACTGTTCTTGATATCTTTTAGCCATTCCCATTCACATGAGCCCTCTGAAGTCCATTTTCCTCTCTAGCCCCTATTCTGCTACATGAATGATAGTGTCTATTCATTTCCTTCTTCCATAAAAATCAGCACTGTCCCAACAAAAAAGAATGGATACCTGACTCAAAGCATTCAACATGGTCCTTCCAAAAATTTACCCTCAAAACAGATTGCAGCTTCCACTTTTAGAGCTATAAGAAAGAAACTCAGGAAATTTTAAAAGAAATGTTTGTAATAGATCAGGCAGATTTCAACAAACCCAGTTATACATACATATAGTAACTTAGTTTGTTGAATTTATAATCAACCCTGAGATAGAATCTGATAGGCATTTTAAATATAATATGTTCAAAACAGAATCCTTGAATTTTCCCATCCCTAACTACTTCTTATCAAGGCTTCCCCATCTCAGGAAGTGGCAGTGCCATGGACCCACATCCAGTCCACCAGCAAATTCTATCAAACTCTAATTTACTCTGACTCTGAGCACTCCCATTGCGACCATCCCAGTCCAAACCATTATCATGTCACCTAAGCAATTGAAGTGGCTTCCCCAATCACATCCCTGACTCCACTTTCATTCTCCTTCAATTTATTCTCTGCACAACCAGACTGTTGTTTTAGAAAAGCATGTACTGAAGTTTTTGAACAAATAAAAATTAAAACAGTGACTGCCTGTGTCAGGGAGGGGACAGAGGAAGTATGGGCTGGGTTGAGGCATGAGGGAACTATTCTGATGTTATGTTTATGTTCTATATCTTGATAGAATTTGAGGACACAGGTATGCATTTGTCAAAACTACACATATTACATTAAAATTTGTTAATGATATACATGCAAAAGTATTTATGGAAAATGGTAATGATATCTATAATTTACTTTGAAATGCATAAAATTGACATGGACTTAATGAGTGAATAAGGCGATGAATAAACACATAGACATGAGATAAGCAAATCTACTAAAATGTTAATGGTAAGATCTAGTTGCTGAGTGTATGATGCTCAATGTAAAATTCTTTTAATTTTGCTTCATGTTTGAAATTTTTCATAATACATTGTTGAAAAATTATACAAAGCCTATCAGGAATTTAGCTCTTGAATAAATGTTGTTACCAATGAATGATGCAAGCATAGAAATTGAATAAAAAATAAAACCATTATAAATTCTCATAAAACTAATTTAGGAAAAAGTTTCACTATTACAGAGGCAAAACTTTTTAATAGGTTATGTATGTCTCTCTACAGAAAAGAAATTAAAAATAATGTTAATGGTCCCTGTGAAACTTAATTTCCTTTACTGAACTCTTGTCAGGCTTTCGGTTACTGTTCCTGGGGGATGAGTACAAGGACTAGAGAAAAAAAGGGAAGAAAGAAATATATCAGAAGACTTACCAGAATCAGGTTCTAATGCAACAAGGAAAAAGAAAAACAGCAAACTTTTCAGTATGATGTGTTGTTTGTCATATTCCTTCATGTGTTTTGGCTGTTACTGAAGTGACTACTGACTCCCCAGGACCGTCAGATTGTATAGACCTTAGCAAAAGAAATTTTGTTTATTCTACAGCATTTCCTTAGCAATTCCTCCACTTCTTTTTTTTTTTTTTTTTTGGTAATGTTTTATTGTTTATGCTATACAGTTGTCCCAGTTTTCCCCCCTTTTCCCTGCTCTGCCCAGCCTGCAGCCTCCACTTTCACAGTCGGTCCCTACACCCTTGTCCATGTCCATGGATCCTTCATATGCATTCTTTCACTAGTCTCTTCACCTTCTTACAAGCAGCAATTTCTCCTTTTCAGTATGATTAAGGCCAAAAATTTCTTATGCCATTCCTATATATTTGCATAACAACCTTTGTATCTTGTAATGTTGCTATTCTTAAAACAATCAAGTTGCATAATAACTAAGATTTCCCAGGGACTTTTTGGATCTGAAACTTTGCTAAAAATTAAGAGATTAAAGTTCAAATGATTAACCTGTAAATTGACTAGCCTATTTATTTTCTATGCTATTTATATTTTCATGTCAGATGTAGGGCAAATAATGATTACAAATGTGAAGCACTACAGGTTAAAGATAAAATGCACTAACAGTGGTTGTGTTATAATAATGATTCAGGTCACTACAGATGTTAATATATATGTTGGAATGCATAAAATTATTTTTAAATGGGGAATGAGACATTACTCAATATAATAAACTCTACTGGTATTGGTGATAAAAGGTTGTTGACAGTAAATTGCATGCTTCTGATCAAAAGGTTTAAATTCCAAAGCATTTTGAAAGATAGTGTATGTGCACAAAGGTGACTGAGGAACAAATGAAAGAGAGAGGATTTAGAAGAGAAAGGAGGAGTAAGAAAAGGGGGAGTGAGAAGTGGAGAGATGGAGGTAAATGGAGAAGACAAAGTGAGAGAGAAAAAAAGGAAAGAGGAAGAGAGAAAGAGAGAAGAAAAGAGAAAAATAAGGCAGAGGGAAGAAGAAAACAAAGCAGTGAGTATGGAAAGAAGGGCAAGAGAAGTGTAAAGATTAGAAAAGGAGAAACAAAACTGTCATTATTGCCTGCAAAGAAGGTTTTCTACACAGAAAATGAGAAAAAAATCTATAAAATAAAATCAAAATTTAAAATAATAACAGGTTCTAGCAAGGCTGCTAAATACAAAATCAATACACAAAATTCAATAGTAGTTTTTACAGCAGTTATAACTAATCAGAAAATGTACTTCAAAAAGCCTATCTCACCATCCATCCACAAAAGTTAAAAATCTCCATGAAAAAATATAAAAGTTGCATAAGGAATTCTTGAAGAAAAGTATGTCTTCATTAAAGTGCATAAAAGAAAACCTCTCACAAATTGAAGAGCTATATTTTGTTCATGTTACAAAATGTTCAAAATAATACCAAATTTTCCTTTAATTTTATAATTTTACCCCAAAATTCATATTAAATAGTAAAGACTAAAAATAGCCAAGAAAAGTGTGACAATAAGATGAATGAGAAAGCTATAATAATTCAGATATCATGGTACTAGTGTAGATAAAAATATATACATCAACAAAAGAGAATAGAGAAGTCAGAAATCGTCTGGGAATATGTGAATGTTTATACCCTAAATAAATGGTATTTGATATAATATGACATTGCAAATCAGTAGGGAATGCATGAAGTATTTAATAAATTAAAATTTGATAACAGACTACCAAATGGAGAAAAAAGATCAAATTAAACCTCACTCTGTGACCAAAATTAATTTGAGACATTCAAATACCTAAATGCAATAATCATAACTGTAAAACATGTAGAGGAAAATATAAGAGAATGTCTTCATTCTGATCATTCAAATTTAGAAAGATCTATATGGCAAAAATGCATCATTAAAAAGGTTTAAACAATAGCACAAATGGAAAACCATATCAGTAACAAATACTGCCAAAAAAGGAATAATATCAGAATATTTTCTTTTTTTTTTTTTTTTTTTTTTTTTTTTTAAAGATTTTATTTATTTATCTGTAGAGGGGAAGGGAAGGAGAGAGGGAGAGAAACATCAATGTATGGTTGCCTTTCATGCGTCCCCTGCTGGGAATTGGCCTGCAGGGAACTAGTCTGC